TTACGTGCTGGCCGTGTCTGCATTTGATGGCAGCTCACTGTGATCCATACAGTTCAGGCGTGGCAGGGGAAAGGGCGTCTTTAGTGAGATGCTTGGGGCCTGGTGGGAGAGTGGGGGCAGGTGAACACCTTGTCTCCTTCAGGTGTCTTCTCAGCTAAATACAGCATGGGAAGGACCAAGAAAATGTCTATCAGAGACATTGAAAATGGTCCTTTTAAGGCCATCCATGAGGCTGGCATGGTGCATATCTGTAATCTCAGTTCTTAGGAGATGGAGGCAAGAGAACCAGGAGTTCAAAGTTGTCCTAGGTTACATGAAACCGTATTTCAAAAATACAAAGTGAAAATTAAAACAAACAAAAAGCAGCTGCTCTTAACCTCTTACACACAATTTCCACTGTGAAGACAGCTAACCCTAGAGCATAGCTCACAGCCAGAGTCCAGGCTTTCTTAGACTCATAGCAACACAGACAGGGTCAGTGGCCTAAAGGGCCCTGGTGGCTGGGTGGATAGAGGAGGAACTCTGGGCTTCCTGAGAAGCTGTCACCTCAGGTACAATGACCTTATTTCTGTCCTCTGCAGTTGGGGACAGGAAAATCAATGCTCATAACACCTGGGGGCGGGTGTGTGAGGCTGAATCAAGTCTGCATTAGAGAGAATGGGGCTGTGGGATCTTTCTGCACAGAGCATCCAAGCCAGGACCCGGCTCCTGGGAGAGGTCTGATTCTGGTAAACAGCAGAACTCATTTTCCAGCAAATAGATTTTCATTTTGCTTTCTTGCAGCGATGCACTTCTGAATTGTCACTGGAATGAGGTCTGATAGGGCCACCCAGGCTGAGCCTCTCTCTTGCCTTTCAGAGATCCATCCCCTGAGCCCTGACTCAACTCTGCCAGGTCCCTGTCTGCGTCTGCTCCAGTGTGCAGTACATGCCATCCATTCGTGTGTGTGTGTGTGTGTGTGTGTGTGTGTGTGTGTGTGTGTGTGTGTGTCCAAGTGTGAAAGCCAGAGACTGGAGTCAGCTGTCTTCCTCTATCAGACTCTCCCCTTATTTTGGGGGACAGGGTCTCTGTTGAACTAACTGATTTGGCTCATCTATCTGGCCCTGGGACCTACCTGTCTCTGCCTCTCTAGGGCTGGCGTTATAGTAATGTGCCCGCATCTCAATTGTTGCATGGGTGGTAGAGATCCAAACTCAGATTCATAGGTTTGTGCAGCAGCTGACACTTTGCCCATTGAACCAGCCCCCTCCATCAGTATTTTATCATGTGCTGTGCAACTCGAGGGTCTATGAGCCTGAGATGGACCCAGGCTGAAGTGACTGATGGATAGGAGTGCCCTCCTTCCTGCTGCACAACAGAAAGACGATTCATAGGCTTTACCCTCATGTATCCGAGAGCTTAGTGGATTTTCTGCTTTTGCTCAGGCCCAGTATCAGTGAGCCCTTGAGTCAGACGTATCACACAATAACAACAGATAGCACATTGTCATCAGGTGAACATAAACTAATCATAAATGTGCTGGCTAGTTTTGTCAGCTTGACACAAACCTAGACATATCTGATGGAAGAATTACCTCCAACAGATTGGCCTACCAGGTAAGTCTATGGGGGCATTTTCTTGATTGGTCGATGTGCAGGGTGGGCAGGTCCAGTGTGGCTGGTGCTTTCCTTGGGCAGATGGTGCTGGGTAAGAAAGCAAGCTGGAGTAATCTGGAGGTAAGGGGATGTCTGCAAGCCACAGAATAGCATTCCTCCCTGGCTTTGACTTACGTTCCTGCCTTCAGGTTCCGGCCCTACTTGACTTCATGCTCTGGCTTCCCTTGGTGCTGTACTATGATCGAGACCTGTAAGCCAAACATACCCTTCTTCTCCAAGTTACTTTTGGTCACTTTTTGTTTCGTTTTATTTATCATAGATAGAGAGACCAACAACTTAATCCCCCTCTTTAAGATTGACATCTCATGCTTCCCCACACAGCTACATATCTTTCACAGCTGTGCACCCTCTGGAACCCTTTTCCTGATCTCCATACGGTTAACTCATCACAGCCATCAACTCGTAGCTCAGAAATTGTTTTTCTAGGAAGATTTCTCACATCCGATGATATTCAATTTCCCTTGCTGCGACCAAATACAAGAAATAATTTTAAGGCTGGAGGATTTCTTTTGGCTCATTATTTCAAAGATATCAGTCACCCATAGTGGGAAGCTATGGCAGAACATGGCTGTTCACCTTAAAGAATCCAGGAAGAGGAGAATACTGTGTTCTAGGGTCCTCTTTTCTGTTTTCTTACCTTTATGTGGGCTCCAGGGATTGAACTCCATCCTTGTTCAGCAAGCAACATCATCTGATATGCCATCTTGTCAACCCCATCTGTAAATCATTAACATGTAAAAATATGAGAAACAGCTTATAGGCTCAATACACAATTCAGTTAACTTTAGGGTGTGTTCTACAGAGCACTGTTCTATAACCATAAACTCACAAATCCAAAAATCTCATTAAGAAACACCCTTTCCCATATATACTCTCTCACACGGGCAGGGGCCTTGTGTAGCTCAGGCTGGCCTTGAACTCAGTAGCTGGGGATGAACTTAAACTCCTGATCCTCCTACTTGCACTTCCAGAGTGCTAGGGTTGCAGGTCTAGGCCACCCTGCCCAGCTTTAAGTTTACAAAGCAATTCCACGTCATCTGTGATCTGTTTCTATTGAGGACACAAAACAGGTTGATTCATTTTCCAAGAGACTGCAGAATACAGAAAATTGGTTTGCTAGTGTGTATGTCGCGTGACCTGGGCCAGGCATATCTTCATGAAAGGGACTCTGTTCACCCGATGGTTCTGTTGAGTGTTGAGGGTACACGTCACCTAAAGAACAATTATATCCTTCTCTGGCTGAGCTCCCCAAGCCTGTTTCTCTTTCAATGAACTTGATGCCTATCCTGCTTTTAGATGCATGATTGATTATATGAGTTATCCATGTCTGTATACTAATTATCCCAAACTTAGGGTCTTAAAACAACATAGATGGCTGGAGAGAGGGCTCAACAATTAAGAGCAAGGACTACTTTGGTAGAAGACTTGAGTTCTGTTCTTAGTACCCAAAGTCGGCAGTTCATGACCACCTGTAACTGCAGCTCTAGGGGACCCGATGACCTCTGGCCTTCAAGGTACTTTCACTCCTTTGCACATGATCCCCCACATAAACATAAGTGTATATATGAATAACTCTTAAAAGTTGCATACACACCACTAGGTTTCTGGGGTTTCTGAAAGCTCTGTTGGCTTAGCTGGGCTCTCTATTTCAAGGACTGCTAGTTCAAGGCTAGTGGAAAGCCAGGCATATGTCACCTCATCTCAGTCTTCACCCTGAGTATGATTCACTTCCAAGCTCACCCATGTGGTTACTGGCAAATATAGTCCTTTGAAAGCTGTTAGCTGGAGGCCATTGTTGGCTCTATGATATTTGGACCTCTATATGAGCAACTTACCCATGGCAGCTGACTTCATCTTCCTGAGCAAAGAGAGAGAGGGAGGGAGGGAGGGAGGGAGGGAGGGAGAGAGAGAGAGAGAGAGAGAGAGAGAGAGAGAGAGAGAGAGAGAGAGAGAGAGAGAGAGAGAGAGAGAGAATATACGAGGGATGGGTATTGAAGCTTTGTTCTGCCTCATCTTGGAGTCCCCTATTGCTTTGCCATTTTGTGTAGAAATAAGTTGCTAGGGCCTGGGAAGACAGATCCTTTAGTGAAGTGCTTACCTTACAAGCATGAGGGTCTGAGACTGAACCCTAGATCACACATTTAAGAAGCCTGGCGTGGTGGTGTGCGATAGTAATCCCAGAATGGGAAGGTAGAAACTCCAGGTGGATCATGGTCGTCTCACCTAGTCTGCTTGACATCTTCCAGACCAGCAAGAGACCCTGTCTCAAAAGAGTAGGGCAGATGATTATTGAAAGATACTCAGGATTGACCTCTGAACTCCTTATGTGTGTATATTCCCACACACACTCAAACGCACATTCATGACCCCTCTTGAACACACACTCACATGTACACATACTCACACACATCCACTTGCTAGTTCCCGACTTTGAGAAGAGGTTGATTGACGAAAGGCATGGAAACCAGAAGGTGGGGTCACCCCATGGTGATTGGCAGTCATTCAGAGGCTTGTGTGAGTGAGCTGGTAAACAGAAACCTCAGGTACTCAAGAAGATGGTCTTCATAAACTGAACACAGTTGCTCCACATGGGAGGGGCTAAATTAGAGTTTTCCTACCTTTTAATTTCTTTGATCTTTTAACTTTAAAAATTGTTCTAAACTTTAGCATAAAAAGTTGTGCATTCATACATAGATACACATCAAATGTAACCGAACTCAAAGACTGCACATATAGTAATTTCATTTGGAAATTTCAAAGGTAAAGTTGGAAACAGAGTGATAATCTCACATATTCTTGCCCTTAATAGGTGTGTTGTTGGTCAGTTGTCAATACCGATGTATGTATGTATGTATCTTGCCTTTTTCTTTCTTTTTCATTTCATTATATTTACTTGTGTGTTTTCCAGTGCACTGTCCCATGGCACACATGTGTGTGTGTGTGGGGGGCTCAAAGGACAACTTGAGGGAGTCCATCCATTCCTTGTTTCCACAGTGTGAATTCCTGGGGTAGAATTCAAGTCCCCAGGCTTGGAGTTAGAAATCTGTATTCACTGAGCCATCTTGCCATCCTCTCTTAATCTGTTTAAGATAGTTTTTCTCTGGCCTCGAATTCCCAGCAATCCTCAGATCTCAGTCTCTCAAATGCTGGGATAATTTATAGGCACAAGCCGCTATACCTGGCTTAATAATGATGTTTGGAAACGATATGAAATTTATTCCTGGGAAGGCTGGTACTGGCTGCCATCCAAGTGCCACCATTCTTGGTGAGAGCATGGGCCTGCATCCCTGACCCTGCATGGAGACATGGCGCCTGTCCAATGTGATGTCCTTTCTCTCCCTGCAGAAAACCCTGAGAGAGCCGCTCTGTACTTCATCTCTGGCGTGTGCATCGGCTTGTTCCTCACTTTGGCCGCCTTGGTGGTGAGGATCTCCTGCCACACTGACTGCAGGAGGGGTCCCCGGAGGAGGTGCTTGCAGGACCACGAGAGCAGCAGTGACAGCAGCGACAGTGAGGATGGCAGCGAGGACACAGCCTCGGACCTGTCGGTGCGCAGACACCGCCGCTTTGAGAGGACTTTGAACAAGAATGTGTTCACCTCTGCAGAGGAGCTGGAGCGCGCGCAGCGGTTGGAGGAGCGCGAGCGCATCATCAGGGAAATCTGGATGAACGGGCAGCCTGAGGTGCCTGGCACCCGGAGCCTAAACCGCTACTACTAGGGCACAGTGTGAACCCCAGAACATCTGAAGGCCGCCAGGAAAAGAGTGGGTTCTGTAGGCAGGGACGGTGTGCACAACGGAGACCAACTCTGCTAATGGGTCTGGAGAGAAGCACAGGGCCAGCGTGTTTTCCCAAGGGCATGAGGGGTTGCTTTAGACCTCCGGAGAAATAAACAACCCATGCAGCGGCATCTGCCTTTCCAGGTCTTGACACCCACGTGGGCACACTGGCCCAACCTTTCCAGGTCTTGGAATGGTGCTGAGATTTCCTCTCCAGCCACGTGACAGTGACAGTGACGTGACAAGCTGAAAGAATGAATGGTCCTTACTTTCTGAGGCCCTCAGGAGTTTGCGAAGACTTAACCACTGTGTTACTCCTTTACAAAAGGAAAAATTCTCATAGCTGGAGAGCTGGGGGTATCAGGGTGAACTTAACCCAGAAAATTCAATTTTCTAAAGGATTCCGTGCAGTGGAAGCCATTTTAATTGAGATAGCATGATCTATGCTAATTATTTAAAGCTAATTTTTAGAACAAAAAAAAATCTTGGCAACCTCTGCATTTTAACTGACACCTCAGGGATTAAAATCCTATTTTTTAGTCTAGTCACCACCTCATTCATGGAAATGAATAGAATTTACTGTATTATGAGATGTATTGCTGACTTAGGAGATACATACATCAATAACCTCAAAGGATAAATGGGTTTATTTTTAGTAGTTTATAAATATATATTGACATGTGTATTTGAAAATGCTGCATAAAAATAGAAGCCCTGTGTCCTTCCATTTTGGAGAGAGAAAAGTCTCTCATGTCTTCAGAGACTCAGTAATATTTAAATAATATTTTGTTTGAAAATAACAGTTGGAATTTCCAAGAAAAGAATGGAAACCAGAGGTGAGGATTAAAGCCAAAATTAAACGATATCTAAAACAAACATTTCATGAAAATCTCCCATTGTTTCATGTCTGTCTGTGTGGTCACACATAAGCCTCTATGATCACCCTGACTTATGGGCAAATATGGCCTCTACCGGACCCCTAAAGGGTTGAGAATTTAAAAAGGGTGATAAGGGTTTTCTGTTGTAGGATATGTGTTGTGGTTGCATTATTGGTAAGAGATAGAGCTACTGAAGATTTGCCTAAGGCAAGAGGTAAGATAGTGACCCCCACCCCGTCATTTCAAGAAGTTGGTAGGGAGGCAAAGCAGGCAGGCCCCAGGGAAGGATGGGAGGAAGACTGTCATACTGGAAATTGGGTGACAGAATGAGGCCGTAGCTTCTAGGGCAGTAGTTCTCTGCCTGTGGGTCTCAAACCTTTGGGAGGGAGTCACACACCAATTATCCTTCATATCAGATATTTATATTATAATCATGAGTCATAACAGTAGCAAAATTAGAATTCTGAAATGGGAAGGAAATAATTTCATGCTTGGGGGTCACCACAACATGTATTAAAGGGTCACAGAATCAGAAAGGCTGAGAAATGCTGCCCTAGGGCATAAATAGGAACCTAGAAGTCTGTGGGGGGGCTCCCCTCTCTTGCCATGGACCCTTATTGGGTCCAGGTGCATGATCCAGAGCCTTCTTAGTGGATGGGGCTCCTTCTCTGCCCATTGCCTTATCACCATGCCTAAGAGATGGGCTGGAAGCTCTGCCATGAATCGTATAGCATTTCAGGAATTCATTCTCAGTCATAGAGGCTAAGAACTAAATGTACACTCACAATCTCCCGTTGCCAAGGGCCTATACACTTTGCCTGAAATCCTCTGTGGCTAACCTGATTATACCATTGAGATTGGCATCCTTTGGTCAGTAATGAGTCCTAAAGATCTTAGTAGGTCAGTGTCTCTGGGTCGGGATGAACATGCTTGTCATTCAGGTTCCCTGGAACCAATCACAAGGATCGTCCTGTTTCCCAGACTTTAGATTTACATCTTTGGTCTTAGTCTGCATCTTTTAAAAAAATGAAACAGTCAGTATCTACCTTAATCTCCACGAGGTAGCCCAAGCTGATCACAGGGGAGGTTCTGACCCTTGCTAGACAGAGGCTACAATAATGGATGTGCTTGACAGGGCTCTGGGGTGTGCACATAGCTGTGCTAGTGCTCGAATTGTCTGCATATTTCATCATGTCAATGATATTTCCATTATTGGGGTAGTACAGACACTATTTAAGGCACAAGAGCTACCAGACAATAGTTTAACCAGCAGTTTTATTTTCATACAATAAGTATTCCAGTTTTTTTTAAAGTGTCCAGTTTCAATTTTAGGTTTAGATTTATAACACAGTTATTGTTTTTAGCTTCTGTACCAGGTATCTATCTGTGTTTATAACAGAGAGATGCCCAATTTAAGAGGATTTATTGATGTATGAAACTCAAAGGACAGAGATGAATATAGCTTCAGAGATGGCTGGGTTCAGAGACTCACCATCAAGGTGGTTCCTTTTTTCCGAGTTCTGCTTTGTCTTCTTTGTTTCTGCTGTAGATGCAACTGTAACACACATGTGTTAACTTGAATGCTGAGCTTCTCTGCAGCACATAGGGAATAGTTGCGTGTACATGTGTGTTGGGGCAGGCAGAGAGGGAGAGAGCACAGAAGGGTTGTATTGGGTGCAGTTACAGATCTCTGATCTGTAATTCTACTGAGCAGTGCCAACTGAGTAAAGTCTGGAAAACTTTTTGGGAAACAAAGTGTCTTAAGGGCTCAAGGAAAGCCTCTCTAGATGTAAGACAACACCCACCCACTCCCTTAGGTGCCTCTTCCTGAGCTAGGCACTAGGCAGCAGAGGTAGCTACTGTCAAACTCACGACACATCCGAACCCACTCTCCGGAGTCATTGCCATTGTCCAAGTGTGCTGTGGGCACATCTAGATTTACAACATACCAATATAGGACACAGGAGAGTAACACCTCACTGCATGGTAAGGGAGGACGATGGAGCCTAGACGGATAATGTGGCCCCCAGCGGGGTCCCACAGAATTCATGAGCTTAAAGGTACTGTTTTTCTGTGGCTACGTTTTGAGGAATTTTGCTACACAACAGGCAACTGTACGATCCCATGCTATGACTCAGTGTTCCCTCTAACCCAAATTGAAATTTAATTGTATTGAGACGGTGCTGAGAGGTTGGACCTATATGACGTGCTAGGTCTCGAGGGTCCTCTCCTTATGGATGGATTAGTATCCTCACAGGCAGTGAATTCCTGACAAAAGTCACTGAGATGGGATGTCTCTCTCTTTTGAGTGCTTGCCTTTCTCCATGTCACAGCGCACTGGGAAGGCCATCACCGGAAACTGGGGATGTAGCTCATGGGATGTCCCCTCACTCTTGGACTTCCAAGTCTCTTTTAAGTGACCAAAAGAATCAGTACATTACTCTCCCCCTCCCTAAGGGAATGTCCTCCCTATACTTTAGCAAATGATAAATGGTCCCTTAACCCAAAGCAGGGACCATTAAAGCTCCTCCTCTCCTTCCTTGAGCCTCTCAGATAACTAATTAGAAAGCCTTCTAATACCAGCGACACTGTGGTAAATCTTGGTGTCAAGTTGACTAGACAGACACTTGGGAAACCAGAGTTGTTGGTGGAGCACGTTGCTAGGTATGTCTAAGAAGGCGTTTTCGCAGAGGATTGGCAGGTGGGTCAGTGGCCTGAGTGGGGAAAACGCAGCTTGTATGTGGGAGGGTCATTCATTATATTTCGACCCCAGAGGGAACACAACCTGCCAGTTCTCACATGTGCACCTGCTCAGCTCCCTCTGAGTGGCCCATGCTCTGCTGCTCACATCTCCCACAGACCTCTCAGCCTTCCATGTGGACTGGAAGCAGCGGCTCTCCAATGGGAGAGCCTTCAGTTTCACAATGAGCCTTCTAGGTTCATCTATGAACAACTATTGGGTTTTAAGCCTCTGTGCTTCAGAAGTTACCTGTTGTTTATAAGAGATTTTTTAGATCTATTTTTTTAAAAACAAGAACTCACATTAGATTCGAAGTCAATGTGTTTTGATGGTCATCTCTCTGTGAGGAATATTTTTTTAAATTTATTTATATATTCATCAGGATGTCCCTCCTCGAATTCTACCACTTATTTGCATGAGTACATATCTCAAATTCAACTGTGCTGAAATGGTGTGTGTCCAGCCACTCTGCCCCCATGGCTGCTGCCTGTGCTTCATCAGAATGGCAGCTCTGAACAGCTCAACTTGGTTTTCTTAGTGTGTCTTGGGCAGAGCAAAACTAGCCTCGTGTCTTAAGCATTTCTTCATCTTCTCAGTCCATGCTGTGACTGCACAAATTGCAAACAAACACCTCTGAAGAGTTCTGGGTAAACAAGGGGTTCATCTTACCATTTGCCAGCCTTAATCAGCCTTTCTAGACTATATCACCTCCTAGCTCCAAGCATTGAGTTGAATAGTTTAATGTTAGTATCAAGTCTATCAGCCTTTATGGGGTAAATGGTCTTTCCAGGTCCTCTTGCAAATTTACATCATAACTTATATTATTACTAAATGTTTAAACTCTTGTATGGAAATATGTTCCTTCCTTTAGATTAAGTCAAATGTTCCCATTGCTTCAACATGGTTTCTGGAACATTATGGCTGTATGTGATTTTTATGAACTTGTGTTAATACTCTGTACTCTGAGCTCCTGACAATGAACCATATTGTACTGTTAATACAAAAGCACATCTTTCAGTGCAAAGAGGATAAGAGGTAGTTTATTCTGGAACCAAATTTGAGGGACCATAGCCTGGAAACGCAGACTTAGGTTATCCAAATATGGAAATAGTTTCATGAAGTTTCAGAGTAGCAGGAAAAAAAGCCATCAATCAAGGTTGTGCTGCCTAGTTCTCATGTCACTTTGACACAAGCTAGAGTCATCTGGGTAAAATGAACCTCCACTAAGAAAATGCTCCCACCAGACTGATCCTTGCATAAGCCTTTGCTGTGTTTTCTTGATTGATGGTTGACGTGGGAGAGCCCCGTTCACTGTGGGTGCTCCTACTCCTAGGCTGGTGGTCCTCAGTTTTATAAGAAGGCAGGCTGAGGTAGCCATGAGGAGAAAGTCAGTAAGCAGCGTTCCATGGTCTCTGCATCAGTTCCAGCCTCCAGGCTCCCTCTCTGCTTGAGTTTCTTGCCTTGACTTCCCTCAGCAATGAGTAGTGATGAGAAACTGTAAGCTGAAACAAACAGCACCCCTCCTCCCCAGCTGTGTATGGTCACAGTGTTTCATCACCACAATAGAAACGATAACTAAGACAAAGGCAATTTAAATACACCAGTAGAAACACTAAGTGGTAGTTACAGCACTGTGGAGGAATCTCAGCTATAGGCTTCAGATGCTATCTGATGACTCAGCATTTTGGTGGATGGAAAGTCAGGGTTTGGTCAAATTAATACATTCCAATGGTTTTTATCTGTAGTTAGGATGCTAGGTCTTGCTAGGAGTAAGACGTTAGGTGACACACAGGAGAGACAAAGAATAACTAATAGGCTAGAGATTGAGCAAGATACATTGTAATTAGGCTCTGGTTCTGCAACATTCCAATGTCTCCACAGTCATTGACAAATTAATCAGTCTGAAGTCAGCCTTTGCTGGCAACTTCTTTCCAGTAATTCTCAATCACAGCACTCAACTCTGTGTTCTCAGTGTACACATAGGACCCATCTCAGAGTAGTACCTCCTTCGATATTGCTTCTGTGTGTGTGTGTGTGTGTGTGAACACATGGTTCTGCACTCTCCAGCGGTTGGAAACAGGTTCATACCACCACAACTGACTAAATACTTTTGAACTACTAAAGTGATGAGTAAAGTCTCAGAGTACACGAGCTATGATCTTCTGCAATGTGCTGTTCCATAGAGCCCCATCCCTGCCTGTGACAGGGATTGTTTCCTGGGATCATACACATCTGTTTTATCCATCTTTATCCATTCT